GTAAGTACTAATGCCCAAAACGTAGGAGAGTTGTAGGGTAGTAATGGGTAGTCTTAATCTGATGTCAGTAACAGTGTAGAGGGGACCCAAAGGCTCAGCAAGGGGACCCAGGCTACAACTATCCTACACAACAGAAATACAGAATGTAAGTACTAGAACATAGTCAGAAGTTGCAGAACAGACAGAGAGAGAGAGTGAGACAAGAGTAGAGTATATAGAGTGAGTCTAAGAGTACAGGACTACCTGGAGTAGACAAGATCAAGACTACAGGACTAGTCTGATCTTGTACACCTATATATACTAAACTACACAAGAGTACTCAGGGAGTATGAGCCACTAAGAATGATAAGCCATAAAGAATGAAAGAAAGGAATGTCAAAGATAGAGGTACAAAGAATGAAGGGATGGACAAAGGGTAAGAGACTATAGAATGATACAAAGAATGAAGGGGTGGTCAAAGGAATGGAATGATGAAGTAAGGAAGGGTAGTAGCAAGAGTCAGCACACATATAGTCTATAGACAGCACCCCTGAGGGACAAAAGTCCTGAGTTCTAGTACAGAAGGGTGCAGAACCCTTAGAACTGAAGGTACAAGAGTAGAGAACTGTAACAGTAGGTCCCTAGTTGTAGAATGGAGAGGTACATGTAGTACAGTACACAATTACTGAATTGAGTGTCTTGAACACAATACAATACTATTTGAAACTATGTTTCAGGTGGATGCTTATTAAACACTACACATATACATGTGTTAACATTGCTACTATTGAATGAGGTGAGACAATTCTAGATGTGAGCACTTATCTAAAGTAATATATCTAATGCTTAGCTGCTTGGGTTCATCTAGGCCAGAGGAAATTGTAGAGGCTATGAGTGATTAAAGTTGGCAATACTTATACAACAGTAGAATAGTCCCCTGGGTCACTCTTTTCTTTGAGAGTGACAACCACCACTTCTGCTGCTAGGAATGGCAGAGAGTTCTCTAATAATTGTAAGTTTCTGTATCAGGTCTATAAAGCAACTACTGACAGTTTAGTTGTGTTATTATACATTCAAGGCTGACATAGCAATTTGGAGCATCTTTGACCTTCTTTACCTAACTTTCACTACCTTGCATATTTATACTATTTGTAAATCCAACTTCAGAGGACCTAGCTCTAGCTTGCTTCTTACAGTACTTTGTTCCCTCTCTTAATACACTAGCAGGCTTGTCTACTTAGGTATCAATCTAAGTGCTCTAGAAGATCATACACAATATTGAGTAGTTTATTTATTGTTAGAACTCTTTAGGAATTGGGTCCTGGCATTCCTATTTCTTGTACTTGTTCAGACATGGTTTGACCAACTCAGTCACCTTGTATTATCTATACACATAGTAAAGAACATTACTAAGGCTTTTGTAAGACTATATTTGTAGCTAATACTTCTGATTGCCTGTAGAGCCATTACAAGCAGTATTAGCATTACTAGTATAGTTCAGTCAGATAGTCTAGATACTATAGTATCAAGTGAGTCTGTTCTTAGGATTCAAGACTTTCTAATTCTGATTCATGTGAATTTTGTAAGTTGTGAACTATGTTCAGCTCAGAATGTGGTTTATTTTTGGGTTGATTGTCTCTATAATAGCTACATTTGTCTACAGTTGTACTGAGAATTCTTGTTCTCTAGACAAGGTACAGTACTACTATTATGAATATAACCTACTAAACACTGCCTAGTTGATTAACAATATCTCATACACTCTTCTACACATTTTCAGATTACAATATGGACCACCTACCTTAGTGTTCTGTTATACCAACTCTCACTCTTAGCTCAAATAGCTTTCTCAATTGTTCTTCTGCCTGGAAAGATTATTGGTGATGAAGAGAATCAATGGTCACTTATTTCTAATACTATGAGTACTGCTTTCACATTGTAGATGATTAGCGTCACTCAAGCAGTGCCTAACAGTCCTTTTCTCCTTCATCAACAAAGGTATAACCGGATGGTTCATAAATAACTTCACTCGCCCAATCTTGTTCCTCGGATTCTCCTAAAGAACCCTTGTTCAATATCCTATTCAGTTAAGTCATATTCCTAGCTAACTACGAAGCCTCTACACCGCCATTCAGTTCTCCTTTCTTCCTCTCAGTTTTCTGTACCTCATCTTGGTCTATCAAGGGTGTAGCAGTAGGTTTCCCGTCTGCAACCGAAATCTCGTGCTTGGATGCGTCTATCTTGTTCTCCGTTGCTGTCGGAGGAACTGGGACTGTACTGGTCTTTGGAGTCTCAACGGCATCGGCGGCTGGTTGTTGTTGACCCGGTGGACGGTTTTGTTTTTTCTTCTCCTACGCACGGAAAAAATCAATCGTCAATAGATAAGTAAAACAGAAGGAAAATCGTAACTCCTTACCTTCTTCTTAACTTCCTTCTTCGCATTCGGATCTGGATACGCCAACGCCGTGATCTCCTGCCACTCTTTATCCTGTGCATACAACTCCTGTATCGGCGTAAGCAGCTTCACAATCGCCTCGCTCACTGCACCCTTCAAATCTCCAGGATGTATAACCTGATCCGCAAAATCCTTCTCCAGCTCCTCGTATGTCCGATAATGTACATTTCCACCATACTTCTCAGATCTCTCAACGCTAAACACCGTTCCCTGCGGTGCACCCTCACTCGCAAACGGTGTTTGGTCTCCCAGTCCGGGCTCTAATACTTCTTCGTTCCCGGAGAGACGTTCAAGTCGGAGTTGACTGATGGGTATAAGCACGGCTTTAACGAACGCGAGGAGTCCGTTGTCTGTAGCGTTCCCTGGTTCGCAAAACGCTAGTTTGATTTTCTTCTTGATTGTTGCTGGTGGGTCGAGGAAGTCGATTTTGCTGTTTGGGTCTGAGGAAGACATCTTCCCGCCTGCGAGACCGGGTACCATTGCGTTCATGAGATGGGCACGTTTGGCGTAGCCGAGTCGGGGGAGGTAGAGTTCGGCGAAGGTGAAGATTTTTCGCTAAAAATCAAGGTCATGTAAGTATAGGTGTTGTCTAATGCCTTTTGAGATGGAGGACTGTAGCTATGAGCACCGTACCTGGTCTACACCACCAAATTGAAAATCACACCCCAAATACTGTTCATCCAAAGCTTGCATTCCAGGATACAACAGCCCACTCAACAATGGGCTCTCCACTTGCTTCACAACTTCCGCACCCGCCTTCTTCGCATCATGCTCCGTCACAATCGACGCTAATCTATAGTTATCCATGCTATATTCTCGGCTGAGTTGGTAGGACGAGCCTTCGACGAGACGTAGTTTAGAGGTGGGTATACCGAGAGTTTTGAAGACTGCGAGGAGGACGTGTTGGTAGTATTTGGTACGATGGGCGACGAGTTCGAGAGGTGCTTTGAGGTTGTCAAGGAATGCGTGCACATCTGCGTTTCACGATGCGAATGACCGTTCAGATGTTTTTGTATGAAAACTGGAGTTGGAGTCGCTGACCTGCATAGAGGATGGTCATCTACTACACACGATCAGAATCCGAGATAATAAATGGAGTAGAGAAGAATACGGACCTCGACGCCCGCGCGAAGGAAATCAGCGATTTTTGTCAACGGGACGAAGTATCCAATATGTGCTATAGCATAACCCAAGTAGAACCAAAGACATTCTCAACTCAACAAACCATGCTCATGCCGATCCCAAAGCTAAATGTTACTCACGTCGACCAGTCGGTGCCGTACCTGCACAACCAAATCCAAACAAGAAGCGAAGTTGGGAATGATTAATACTGAAAAGAAATTGAGAATAATGTAACGATACACACCCCAGTAACATTTCGGATGTCGTCCCTCAGCCAAGATAGCCTTGATCGTCTCGCCACCAAGGACTTCCTGCAGCCGTCGCGTGATGAGCTCGTAACGCTCTTCTGGTGTCGCGTTTGCTGACATTTTGCTAGGGCTGACTCGATGAAGCAGGAGAATTAAGGAAAAAGGAGGGAAAGATAGGGAAATGGAGCAAGAATGTATAGAGCAGCACGCAGAAATTTTGGGACCAGAGTTGAGTGCGATTGTATGCGTGGCGGGGTCGTGACACACACTTGCCTTTTCTGGCTACTTTTTACTTTTTATTCCGGTTTTCTAAAAGATGTCATAAATTATAATAAATAATAAAATAAACACTTTGCTAATGGATTATTAGTATTTGGTTTGACATATTTGACTCCTAGTTGTAGGATCCGTTTTCTTGCGCTGCACAACTGACCAGCCCAAATAAACCTTTCTTTGAGGTAGCATAAGTTTGAAAACTCGTACAGCTGGCTACTCTATGATTATCGTGATATCAAAGCAAAAAACAAGAAGACAGCATAATTCTAGGTACGAGAAGACCTCACATTCGCTCAAGTGGTGTAAGCGACAACAACCGCATTGCACTCGACAGTACGAGTCGTGCACACGTGAAGAGATATAACCGTGCCTGAGCGATTTCTTCTTCTTGGTTTATCACGATTAGCGTCTCCCAGGCTGAGCTTATTAGGTGGGCAAGTCTACGTGAAAATATTCAATGTTAGCCAGAGATTCAAAGTCACAGAGTAAAATAGGAGAGGAGAGGACGCACTTGAAGCAATACGACACAATCGTACTAGGCTCGTACGTTTTGAACGCCGCACGTACGAAATCCGGATATGTCGCCAACAAATACACAATCTCACGAGCCTTCGGCTCAGTAAGCAAATCCACATTAATCGTCCCAACATCCTCCCTCAACACAACCTGGTTCTGAGCCACCTTCCTCGTGACAGAACACATCCGCACATGCGCATACTGCAAATACGCTCCAGTGTCACCATCCCACGAAGTCATCCTCGCCGGATCAAAGTTATACGAGATAACCCGCTTCGACTGCATGTCCTGAATCTTCACACACGTCATACCAATTTGATCGGACGTCTCCTCCGGGTCTTCGATAGCTTTAAACTTCTCTTCGTTACTCTTCATCTGGTTCATCATCGCTTCTTTCGCCATATCCAATATCTCTTCTAAAAACTTCACTTCACCTCGACGGGTACTCATTCCGTTGACCTTCCCGAAATTTACGTGCTCGAGACCGGGTACGAAGGGTTCTTCCATTAGTGAGAGGATTTTGAAGAATTGAGCGACGTGGAGGTCTTGTTGGTCCCCGATGACGTAGATCATTTTGTCGAAGTTGTAGGTGTCATAGCGTTGGATTGCTCCTGCGATGTCGCGTACGACGTAGATTGTTGTTCCGTCTGCTTTTTGGACGACGGGTTTGCCGAGTTTCCATTGTGATAAGTCGACTGCTAGTGCGAGTCCGGATTGTGAGTCGTCTAGGTTGGCTTCGGCGAGTTGGTCTGTTGCGTCATCTACGTCGTCGGTATTGTTGTCTTCTTTTTTCTCCTTTTCTTCGCGGAACTTGTCTTTCCCAAGTCGACTCTCGTCTTTCGTTTTCGTCGTCAGAAGATTTTTCGCCTTGAGTTTCTCCAGCGCAGTACGGATCCTCGCAGGTTCAACCTGCGACTCCCCAGAATACACATCAAACCTTACGTTCAACCTCGCATACACCTTTTCGTACGCCTTGATGGACAGGTCACGAAATCGGCGCCATAAAGCGAGGGTCTTCTCGTCTCCATCTTCCATCGCACGGAATACTGCTTTCGCTTTTTCGTTCACCTCTTCAGGTCCACCGCTTTCTTCTTCTGCTTTAGCGTCTTTGTTGATGGCGACGTAGACGTTGAAAAGGTGCATGATTGCGTTTTCTTGGAGATTTTCTTCGGAGCCGTAGCGTTCGAAACCGGCTGCAAGGAGGCCGAATTGTTTGCCCCAGTCTCCCAGACTTTTTTACATACAGTAAATTTCTCGCGTCAGAAAAAAAAAGAAGAAACTTTTTAAAGAAATATGAATGTGAATGGTGTACTCACTAATTAAATCTTATCACCTCCCACCCACACGCTTCGAACAAATTCGATAAGAAAGTCCCAATAATCGTACTCCGCAAATGTCCAGCATGGAACGGCTTGGCGATATTCGGAGCGCTAAACTCGATGATGATTTTCTTCCCAACACCACTTGTGAGTGTCCCGTACGCTCCATGTGGGTACTTCTCGCTCGGTTTTGAGAGTTCGTTAATCTGGTCGAGGATGAGTCGGGCGAGGGTGGATGTTCGGGAGTAAAAGTGTACGAAGACACCATCAGAGGTTACTCGTTCGATGAGTTCGTCTGGTTGGAACTGTATACATTAGCCATTCACCGCTCCCATCCGATCTGCAAGATAACTCACTGCTTCGACTACTTTCGCCACCAAGTCTGTTGGTTTAGCCTTGAGACGATATCGCGGGACCGCCACGGTGAAATCAGATTTTTTGCCGAGGTCGACACCCATGAAGGCGGTTTCGACGGGGATGTCGAGGCCTTTTGAGATGTGCATCGCTGCTGCTACGCGGAAGACGTCGAGTTTGCATCGGTCGAAATCTGTACCCGGTAATCGGGGCACGTCTGATATGTTCGGCATCTTCGTTGAGCTGTAGCTGTGACTATGTTGAAATAAAAATTTATGAGATTTGGCTAGCTGAGAGGAGAAAGCTGACACTTGCACGAATCTGAGTGTTTTTAAATGCAAGAGGGGATTAACGGTAGATGGATGTCGAGATAGATGAGTAGATCGTGTGCGGAAGGGGAGAAGGGCAGACAGGCGCATATACTTAACTTTTACTTGACTGCCTTTCCTGCAGTCAATGCCTCGATTGGAAAAGGCGAATGTGACGCTCTCTCACGTGAGTGCAGTAACAGTGAGTGATGCATGACTCGCTTATGTGGTCGGGAAAATTTAAGCACAGTAAGAAAGCTTCACGTGACATGTTCGTGGGAGTGATATTGAAATTGATATTGATCTTGATATTCCTAGGTATACTGCTTGCATACCACCAACATGTACTACATTACCCCCCAAGCTCGACCTTGTTCATCTCAAGCAAAGCAAGTGAAGAATATATGGTTGGTTGCACACTTTGCCATCAGGCACATTCATGCCCAGCTAATTATGATAACATAGGCCACTACAAACCTATTACTAATGTTGCTGACTAGTGCACAGCACAGGTGCTTTGCCACTATTGTATGTTGATTTTTTAAATACTTTTTTTATACCTTTTACCTCCTCCTGGACCTCTTGTTCACACAATATACTATGTTGACACTTTTACTATATAAGTAGAGTCAGTCTCATTGTTCTTAGCCAGCATGTTGGTCTTCAATCTGTTCTCTAAGTGGTCAGCATTTATCCACTTCGTGACGGCTGGGCCTATTCTCCCTTCTCTCGTTAGTGATCAGCAGACAGCATTGATCAATATTGTGATAACTGCTATTCTATCCAACTACAAGTTCTATGTCGAAGGGAACGTACCAAGCCTTCTTTTGTGCTCAACAGTGACCATGTTCGGCATTGTACTCTCCTCCTTTGCCATTTGCTATGGAGGTCGGGGAGGTAGAGAAGTGCCAATATACCCGAAGTTGTTCACCACGGTGTGTTATAAAGATCTAAAGTTATAATGTATGCACCCCTTATATATGCTGTTAGACAAGTGTGCTGCTAAAACTGCTGGTCGACTCCAGCAAGTCTGTAAACGGCGACAGTAACACCCTTACAATCTGGACTATCCTCCAAGACACGTTCGGCATTCAATCCTTCATTTTTTCGGCTACTGCCCTTTGGTTCATTGCGTCTGGTACCCAAGTCCTGAGTCCTTTCGTGTCGAGCAGCTACCGTCTCAACACTGCAAATAGAGGACCGCTCGCCGTCTCCGTTCTCTTTTGGATGGGATTTTATTTATTTATTGCTGGTGCCTTCATCACAATAGCCATTAGTCCCACAGATTTGGGAGGTATCGTTCTGGTGGCATTCGTGGTATTTGCCATTTGTGTTGTCAATCACTACTACAACTCCACCCAAGAGTTTGGTCGACAACAGCAGAGGCTTCCGGTTAGTTCTACCTAAGCACATTTATGGCTGTGTTTTACTCACACTTTGATGATGTTATAGTGAAGTCAATTCTGACCAAGATGTCATGACCTGAATAGAGGCCAGTTAGTCGAGAGTATATTATTTCCCACTTACAATCTGAAGTTGCATATATAGACTCTTTCTTGAATCCCAATGTTGTGCAGCCTACTTCCTGTATTGTGCTCTGTAATTCATGTTATTCTATTACTTTACTGATTGATTTCAATTGAGTTTAATTCGTAACATGAATCATGCCCAGTCAAGGAACTCGATTTCTGAGGCACGCCATCCGGATATTCATACATAGCCTAACTACTAGAAGACAAGGAATCGCACTGTATTCTGACTACACTAGTGCAAGAACGACTGAATAACCACGTCAATAGAAAGTCTTTACTACCAACCAAACAGCAATAACCGTCCTCCGACGCTACCCATTAATAATTACACGCCGGACTTGATGATATCCGCTGCCTTCTCCGCAACCCCGTATAGCGTACTACTCAAGTGCGCGCTAACGTGAAGAGGAAGCACGCTCGCATCAACAACACGTAGGTTCTTTGTATCATATACGCGTAACTTCCCATCTACGACCCCGCCCAAATCACGACGCATCATCGCTGCTGTACCACATTCATGCCAAACAGCAGAGAAACCATCCGGCGCCGGAGCTTGAATCCAAGAGACCCACGCATCGTCTGTTCCACCGTTCCCGTCATCTGATACTACATCAAGCCCGGGCATTGTTTCGCCAGATGTGATTGCATCAAACGAAGTGTAGTTAAGGACCTTGCGAGATAAGCGGGCTGCTGCAGTCTGTATGATCAGGTCAACGTCCGCGCTAAACCAGTTTACACTAATAACCGGCTTTGAAAAGACGCTCGTGTCGTTAATTGTGATTCTTCCGCGGCTGAAAGGAGAGAGCTGCCACGTGCTGATACCGACCCTATTACAGATGCAATAGTTAGTGAATAGAAGGTGTATAAATAACACAGGCACATTACGAGTCGCTGCCGGTGAAGAAGAAAAGCTCAGCGACAGGCACTAAGTGAGATATTAATCAATACAAACATAACAAAATAGACAACCTTCCATACCGCTGTTATTAACGATCAATCCAGCTTGTATGCCAAATATTGTCTTGAGTGCGTCTGCGTTCAACGCATATTCTGCCTGACTCTCGGCCCACGACGTATACGAATCCATGATATGGCTTGCGATCTCACTCCCTGTTATGCTCCCATTCGAGCCGGCGTTTTCGGAGAAAAGTTCCTGTACCGAAGGGAAAGCGATACAATCGGATGGACCATCCCCGTCCTTTTCGAATGAAGACTGAGTGGACTGTCCAAGGTTGCTCTTTGTACGTTCCATGAGATTTTTGCCGACAGTTGAAAGGTTCACTTTGACTTCGATACCGAGGGGATTTAGTATGGACGGGTCGCCAATACCGGAGATCTGAAGTAATTGTGGTGTACCAATTGCACCAGCTGCAAGAATGACTTCCGAACGTGCGTTCGCTGTAAAAACATCACCAGTATTATCAGACTTCTTGAACTGCACGCCCGTAGCGCTCACGTTTGGCGCTGCTCCGGAAAGGATCACGTTGGTTACCTGGTGACCAGTAAGAGTTATCCAGTTCGTGAGATTATTTTCAACGGGCGAGAGATACGCTGTGGCGGAAGAGGAGCGGTGATCGCTATTGTTCGGATTAATCGAATTGGGCGTATAGCTAACACAATTTGCATTTCCGCCATTCACGTCTGGGCAAAGCTTGATTCCGGACAAGTTGCGCACAGCGTCGACGAATGCAGGCTGTTGAGGACCTCCAAACATGGCTTGCGGAAAAGCGGCATGAACAGGCCCTGCGAAGCCGTGGAACTCATTGACACTGTCTGCACCTTTTGCTCTTTGAGCATCGGAGGGAGGTGCGAACGATTCCGACTAGTCAATGGAATTTAGTAGATATTCAAAGAGTAAGCCTTTTTCCTTACCTTCATATATTCAAATAACGAGGCGAAGGTCCAGTTCAAGCCTCTGTCTTCTTCGTCAAGAAGTTGTGCAAATGCGTCGTATTATTCCTTCATACCACGAGTCCACGTAGCTCCGTTGATGGAACTACTCCCTCCTAGCGTTCGTCCGCTAGGAAAGAAACAAAGAACAAAATTAAGTAAATTCATAATTTAGGAGAATAAAGAGGAGATACAGACCCAATGATTTCTCTGCCTAAGTCGGTTTCCCAAGTCCACGTCATGTTTGAACCGAATGCTGCACCATACTGGGTGACATCGTATATTTCCTTATTTGATCAATCGTCGTCCCCAGCTTCAATAACAAGCGCAGTATTGGAAGAGTTCTCGGGAGACGCCCAACAACAGTGAGTCCTGCAAGTCCACCTCCGACGATAATATAGTCAAAAGTTTGACCATTGGTGGTGCTGGCATCTGTGGTGACACCGAATGCACGCTTGTGCAATGATGGTGATGCAAGTGTAAAAATAGGTAGGGACAACAGAAAGGTTCGGCTGAGCCTAGACATAAGTGCAAGTAGAAAGCTGGAACGACAGTACACAGCTTAAAAAGTTCAAGGTGACTTCAGAGCATATGAAAATATTTTGATGACCGAACGAGACGGCAATTAAGCGCAGGGTTATTCCTTGCGCAATCCGGTATGGGTGCGATGAATTCGGGCTGTCAAGCTCCGTCGTTTGCACAGTACTTATCACAAGCCGCTTCTCCGAGACTCAATGCAAGCCCGGGCCCGTCTTTCAAGCACATATGCGACAACTTGGGCACTGGAGAAGGCATTAAAGGCGAACAACACGCACGGAGACTTGCAAGAAAAAATTGCACCCAAGATAAGGCCATGAATGCATGAAGGGTTGAAATACATAGCAGATTCTTGAGAGGTTGTGGAGTGCTCCTGAAGAGATGTAGAACAAAGATGGAATATGGTTTGCCAGGCATCTTCTCAGAGCTCTTGGACCGGGGTGGGGTGAAAGCATCGTCTCAAGGCGCAGTTCACCTTCAAATGTTGTCAGTGAAGAAACTTTAGCCAAAGTACGTAACAGGGGCCGAGAGAGACGGAACAGATACACTTCAGGTTGAGAGCTGGCGACTTCAAGTTTATGCACATGCACAATGTAGATGGCGGTTAGAGCAAGTGCAAAAAGGAGCTGTTGATCAATCTGAACAGCCTTCCAAATTTAGACTATCACGTGGCAAACACAGGACAAACGACACTTCTAAGCATTTCAATAAAGCTCCTAGTCGTTTGTGTAGTCCCTGCTCTCTGCTGCTGCTACTGGCAACAGTTTAATACTGAAAGAACTGGGCCTGTATCTGCTTCTTAATACTCGAGTACTTGCTCTGTAACACGCACTAGAATTACCCAAGCTGTGCTCATTAGACGCGCCGCAGTAACGAGTAGAGCTGACGACACCGCACGTTCTCCACGAGCCCCATACCTCTGCACTCGACGATACCCACACTCTCATCCACCGCTTTTGTTGCCTCTTCTTTTGCTGCTAGTATTCTCGACTAATGACCTCCTACCCGGTCTTGCCATCTCGGCCTATATACCCACACATCCAGTCCAAATGTCCCAAATGCAGCGTACAACTCGAGTTCCCTGTCCCCGAACCTACTCCTGCATTCGGTACTTTACTGCCGGTTAGATGCTTCAAGTGCTCGGGTATCTTGAAGTATCCGTTCTCCAACAATTCGTCGCAACAGAATGGTCAGACTGACAGTAACCTTAATGGACAGCAAAGTTCGAGTTCTAATTCTGGGTCGGGATCGGGAGCGAATGATTCGTTAGGCGGGAGGAGAGGAAGAAAGATTGGCACTCAGGAGAACCCACTTGAGACTGAGTATTACGATATACTCGGTGTACGTACTGATGCGACGGATGAAGAGATCAAAAAGGCATATCGTACGTCTTTCAGTTCATCTCACCCACATCCTACATCTCCACATCCCCACATCCCCTTCCCATTTCACCAGCATTGAAATTCTCATTATATTCACCCTACTCTACTCACAGGTCGAGCCGCGATCAAACACCACCCAGACAAGAATCGAGACGACCCCACCGCAGAAGAACGTTTCAAGAAAATCGCCATCGCCTACCAAACTCTTTCCGACCCCGCCCTCCGAAGAAAATACAACGAATTCGGGTCGAAAGAGAGCGCACCAGAGGGTGGGTTCGTCGATCCTGAGGAAGTATTTTCAGCGATTTTTGGTGGCGAGCGATTTGTGCCTATTATCGGAGAGATTAGTCTGGGGAGGGAAATGAAAGCGGCACTGCAGGAAGCAGATGAGTATGAACAGACTCAAGGAAATGCGAATGGCGGGGAAGGGAAGAAACGACTGCGGGATGAGAAGGGGAACGAGATACTGAGTCCGGAGGAGAAAGCACGCAAGGAAGAGAAGGCGCGGAAAGTGGCGGCTGAGGTGCGTTAGACCTCCTTTTCACTTTTTTCTTGCTTCGCAGAGTCTGGTGATTCAAACTGAGAATTCCTTGGCGTGATTGTTTTCTTTTCCTTTCTTTCGATTATAGAAAGCGGCCGCACGGGAAGCAAGGGTGCAGAAGCTTGTTGAGGAGCTTGAGCGCAAACTGAGTATATTCACTGAGTCTGCCACGGGACCGAACGATCGAGATGTCACAGAAAGTTGGCGAACGATCTGTGAACTTGAAGCTGAGTACGTTCTTTCTCCCTTCTGCTTTCTCCCTTCCTCCCCTTTCTTTCTCCCCCTTCCTGTGCCTCTCTTCTTGCCTTCGTATAAAATTTCCATCATGCTAATGTGCGTATGCTGTGATGTGTATTTGATGCTATAGGGAGTTGAAGAAAGAGAGTTACGGCCTGGAGCTCCTACACGCGATAGGGTTCACCTACTCCTCAAAGGCAAAGCATTATCTCGCCTCAAGCCAGACGTTCCTTGGTGTCGGTGGGTGGCTGCATAACGTACAAGGGAAATACCATGTATTTTCGGAAACGTACGTCATTTAACTCTCTTCCTTCACTCCATCATTCCTTTCTTCTCAATATTTTATATTTAATTAATAAACTTTTATTTTACGGGAATAACACAGCTTCTCGACCCTCAAATCCGCACTCGAGCTGAAGTCCGTCTTCGACCAAATCCAAGCGGCAGAAAAAGCTGGCAACCTCACTCCTGAAGAAAAGAAACGCCTCGAGGAATCCGCAGCAGAGAAGGGTCTACAGGCGTTATTCAAGGGAGCGAAGTTGGAGATTGAGAGTGTACTTAGGGAGACGTGTGATCGAGTTTTATCTGTGGGTGGGAACGTGGATGAGAGGAAGGTACGTTTGAGGGCGATTGCGCTGCAGATTTTGGGAGAGGCGTATATGCGGGCCAGGAAGGATGGGGAGAATGATGGACCGGGCCCGGAGCAGTACGTGAAGATTAATGCGAGTATGGGTGCGACTCCGAACTCGAATACCGGTGCGGGACAAGGAGCGAATCCGAATCCGAACTCGAGAAGGTCTCGTACGTTTAGCACTGCAAATCCGGGGCGGAGTTGATACGATTTGGGGGCAATGAAGGAGGGGTCAAACTCAGAATGAGAGAGAAGATGAACCATTCGATTCGCAAACGAACGATTCGACATTTGTACGACATGCAAATGTAGCATATGTACTTTTGCCTGCACAGTTTACAGTACAGTATAGTACAATCACCAATGTATTCTACGACTAGAGCAGCCTCCCTGTTTTCCTCCCTTTCAAAAATGCAATATCCTCGATATACTTTGATAATAATATACTTTGAATTGCATACATAGACACTAACTCCTCGTCACTTGACTTTTAACGAAAGGCAGCTTGTCTTATATTATATTTGTGAATCAGAGCATCATGATAGCCACAACTCTCAGCAGAATTCCCCTGTCAATCTGTTGAAAATACTTCCTAACCTAACAAAGGTCAAAGGTGGGTAGCAATATAAGTGCAGTTCACAATAGTGTTGTAAAAGTGTGCAAAAGAATTCAGATTATGTAATCAGACCGTGTTTGGAAAAAAGGGAAAGGGAGCAAAGCAGGTCCATACTATCATGTAACCCCTCTTTTCAATTTTACTCTACAGCTACAGCAAATCGATTTTTGCCTCAAAAAAACTCATATGCACATATATACTACTAATAATAATATTTCTACTTTCAAAAAAAATTTAGTGATTTTTTTACAAGAGTTGAAGCCAATTGTTTGAATGTAATCCTTCTTTTCAATGTTTGTCACACATTGTCACAATTTTTTGGCGTGCAGATCAACCGTCTCTCCTCAAGCAAGTGTCACTCCTTGTCACTCTAAAAGACTCTTTTCACTACAATAATTCATAAAATCTGTATTTTCTCTTTTAAAAAAATTAAACTTATGCTAATATACATTTATTCCTGATAAGAGTAAAAAATATTGCAAAGTTCAGTAAATAAATGTCTATTTGAGCAAATTCATATAATTTTAGCTTGAAGCTTCTGCATATATGCTCAATTTTAATTTTTTTCACCCAATTTTCATAGATTTTTTGTGCTATATACTCATGAATTATGTTGATACACCTTCATGAATTTTTTCAAAGTGAGAGTTGTAGTGGAATGTGGTGAACTAGAAAATTGAAAAGAGGGGGACATTGAAAAGAGGGGTTACATGATAGCATCACCAAAACGTGCAGAGTCTGACAAGGCAATATATTTACATGTAGACTTTATAAGCGAATATAAGGATCCACAATATGTAAAAAATATATGTCTTAGCAGTAAATTCCAATACATTTTTGTGTTCAATTTGGTGATGCATACATTTATTAAAACAAGGCAAATTGACGTGGAGGCACAAAACTCGCATCACGAGAATGACTCGAGTAGCATATTATGAAGGACAGATAAACAAAAATGGTTTGCCGTTCATATTCTTGGTATCCGGTTGATTATGAATTGGCTTTGCTGATGAACAAGGGATATGAAATAGCACCGTGCTGACCACCCATCAATGTACCACAGTAACCAATTTAACAACAATTGCCATTCCAAAATCCATACAAGCCATACAAAACAGATCCAAGCAAACCAAGTACAGAATGTTACAAACGAGTGAATATCACTATCAGTCAAACGAGAATTCAATCCATAGTACATATCCCATAACCGGGCACAAGCAAAGTGGTGTCCGAAAGCACAAGTAATTGACATAGCACCTTAGGTACCACCCTGCATACACATCCTAATCACGAGAGTTCCAATGTCCGGGGATCAGCGGACCGTGTTGAGTAACCAATTTACAGACTGAGGTTGACTGGTACACAGCCAAGCGAGATAAGACCGCCAAAGCTATTGTCTTCGCAGCAGACTGGGTTGGCACTGCAGCCCGAGTCTCCCGCACCGATAACCTTCAAAGTAGGACAAGCATTTTAAGAGATGATAATCTCCGCGTGTAAAAGAACTGGCATAACTTACGGTGATCGGGGAGCAGGTAACACCGACGAGGACATTGACGTCTTGGACAACGACACCAAGCAAGCTGAGGAGGCCGGCGATCGAGGAAGAATCGGCTTTCTGCACACTGTTGCAGCACTGCAGGGAGCCAGTGTCGCACTGGAAATCAGAGGAGATTATGAATTAGTATATGAAGAACTATTGGACGAAAGGTATGGAAGTACGTAAACTTCTGACTTACCTGGCTCATCGCGGGAGTGGCGACCGCAAGGAGGGCGAGGGTAGCAAAAGAGGTAAACTTGGCGAACATGTTTATTTTAGAGATGAGTGCGCTGAACGACTAATGTGTCTGTTCGACTGCTGAACAAATCCATCCAAGCTGCCCTCATTTTATACAGCAGGATCGCTGGTCTGTGCGTCCAAGTCGCAAAGAGCTGACATATTGTCCTCTAGGTCAATGCAGTCATGGTCTTGTCGACCTTTCTAGGCACGATCAGTCGGAGCGGAGTGAAATATTCCAAGCACACAACGCGACGAATCACGTAACGTCTTCTTTCCGCATTTTTGTGTGAAAGAAGTGTAGGAAGAAGGTGAACAGAACTCGTGAGAGCTCAATGTGGTTGCCTGACGAGAGCTAAGAGTTTCAAACGCGCAGAGTCGCATGCTGAAGCACAGGTTCGTAGTGCCTTGGAGCCTCGGAAAAGTACCAGCCCGATCGATTTCGGGAATATTCAGGCGCATGGCCTTTTGCTATCTTTGCTGCAAACGGCGGAATGCCGATGCCGTGTAATGCCACCTGAAGTCGGCAGCGAAATAATTCAGTTTTGTTTTTGGCACTTGTTCCAGTAAGTCGTGCTTCGAGTCCAATGTCCATATCAGTTACACAAAATATACAGCTAGAGTATTGCAAATGCCTGTACTGGGGTGATTCTTCTCAAGGGGTAATGGTGGTAAAAGGAAGAGTTGTTGGGGCACAGAGAGTTGTGATTGAAGTGTGGGAATTGCCGAAAATGGGCTGATGGACGAGCTGACGATCCTCCCTTGACATGGACGATCCAAAGAGCCTCTAGAAGCTCTCTTTTACCTCAACAACCATGTACACCGAAAGGCAGCATTGATCGCTATGGCGGGAGAAGACGATTTTTCTGTCGCTTAACTAGAGATATGGGGCGCTTACGTTGCGGTAGGACCAGTCGTTGCTTCTCTTCTCCCAGCTCTCTGGTTGGTTCCGGTTTGTTGAAGTCCTTTTTCGGAGAAATTCTTGAACTGACCCACCTTCAGCAGTCGAAGTAAATCTCCACATGAATGCGTGAAGCGTATGCAGCTGCACGGAGAAATCTTTTAGGCGGCGAGAGGTGCTGTTGGAACGGCCCAAATGGCTATATTCAGGACCGTTTTGATGCTTCTGCGGCCGACCGTCGTACACCAAGTTGCGAGCAAAGTCTTTCTTGGCTTCACAAACAATACAGCAAAGCTTGTCTCCCACCCCACGTTATACATTAGCAACAGCGCATTGTCGCCTATAGTGTCCCTCCTAGGACTTATGGAAGTCTTCTATCGCGCTCGTGTGGCCTGGTTGCTTCTTTACACATGAGGAGGCGATGGCGGCCCGCAGGTATGTTCTTTCCTGCCAATGATAGAGGAGACCGTATTTATTCTCCGACTCTGGGGAACTTGATTAGATCTGACAAGGAGAACGGCGAGCGAAGCGGGAGCTATGAGGAGTAGTTTTCTCCCTGACATATGATGCTTTCTCTGCAGTTGCTTGTATCCGCATCAAACGGGAAATATCACCTCTGACATCGGCTGTGATGATGGCCTCCCCCATCTCCCGGAACTGCGACAACGTCTCGTTGTTTTTTGTTCAGGTTCTCTACATCTTCGCTAACAAAGTTGACATCTTGCTTCTGGTGTTTCTTTTGTTCGCATTCCATCGACAAAACTATCTTGCACGAAGCAAATAAACGGGTTCTACTGCGTCCGCTGTCCGCTCTCTCATCTATCAGAAACCAGGGCACTTGTTCTACCGGTTCGATACCCTGGAAAACATGAGTTATAGTTTGTTGTTCGGTTCTCGGATGTGACATACCTCTAACTAGTTTCTGAATAAGACAATCCGAATTCGCAAATGAAGACAGGAGCCATGGTCATGGAACACATGTACGACACCTGGTCCAATCGCTTGTCAGCTTCTGCAGCTATTGTTTTCACTTCTATACAATACCTTGAACGAACAAGAACTACTGATATACTTCTAGGGGCAGTGGTCCTTGCACCCCGCACGCGCTTTCTATTAGGCATTGCCATCTGTCTCGGACCATTCCAGCAAATTGAAATTCCTTTAAAAAATAATAAAGGGACAATACATTCAATCTCCGATCAAACAGCGCTCAGTTGAGTAAATGATATCACCTTTCTGATTTTGAGCTGAAAATCCCAGCAATAGCCTTTAAAGATGTTAGTTAAGCGGCATTGACGCAATTGCGATCAAGTTAAGTTCCGATGCGAGAATAACCTTGCGGTGCTTTGCTGTAACAGTACATCAGAAGAAGGGGATTCTACTCACCAAACCTATGGGAAGAGACAATGGTTTCCTTTTGGCCTGCTCAAACACGCGCATTTCATCATTTATTTACAAACGGGTCCACTTATTAACTTAATTCATATCCGATAGGAAAGAGACAGAAACTTGACTGTTTGCTTTTGATGAGAAGGAGTTGCGAAGTACGGAACATGTGGACAATGCGCGCTGTTTTTAGCAAGCTCATGAGGTAACACCCTCTGATACAACATTCTCCTCGTGCACACCATGTTGTCAGAGTATTCACCGGCCGTCGGAAAATCTGTGCGGCGCCTAAATATCATGTTAGGCACATACTCCATTTCCACCTGTTGCCAAATCCGCGGAGGCGTACGCACCTGGACTCTGTTTCCCGCCTAATAGTTGCGGACTCTACTTGATCAGAAAGTCGCGTGTGTTCCTATATTCGATACAATAATCGGTGCAGTCTCTCGTGTCCTTTCCGTGCGTACGGGACGACGCCAAAGAAGCTAGGAAGGCATGCCTCGCGTCGGTCTCAAAGGGCTTCGTCAGATGACCGCGTTCTTGGGAAAGAAACCCCCTAAACTCGAGTTTCCAATCGCCCACATCATATTTCACTTCCACGCGCTTTGTGCAACAACGAGTAGGGCCTTCTGTGGAGTAAGCTATGTCTTGAAGTCGAAAATAGCCTAGATGAACTTCTTTCCACGTATATTTTTAATAACGGGAGCGGCTTTCTTTCTCAACCGGACGGCATGTGTAAAGTTTGCCTCACTCCCGCTTTGCTCAAGAAGGTATAACCAACGCCGAATCTTCGATATTAGCCGATTATATTCAGAAGGGAAGAAGCTAGAGACTCAATGGGCAACGGACACCCCCGCCCTGGATGTGCGCGCGCACAGTCGGTCGGCCCGTATCAGATGATGCACGGTTCCCGACGTCATTCTTTTTCCTATAGCTTTACCATTTCTGTGACTCCTTTTTGAGGCCAGCGGGCCTGTGCTGAAATTATCCTATTCGTCACACGTTTGAACATATTCACAGTTCCATTTTATTCTTCGCTTCTTAAAAGCCCCAAGGTACGATCGTTTGCTTGGTTCCATGTTGACTTCTCGTTTGACGACCAGTTACTTCGGATTGACAGGTGCATCATAGATTTGTCCGCATCCAGAATGTTTTCATTCATTCCCCAAATGTCAGAACTGATGATGTTTTGTTGAACTTGACGCTCAGACCATCTCGCTCCACTCTGAGGATTGAATCTCCCTCACTGCGAGAAATTGCGAAGCGAAACTCTAGCTCCTACGTCACGTATTCCAGACGCACAGACCATTTTTCTGCAGTATAAAATGGGGAGTAGTCAGGAGCTAGAGAACAGTCAGAACACATCTTCCCGTCGTTCTACGCGTCTTTAGCACACACAACTCACTAACAACATGTTTTCCAAGTTTGCTGCTCTTGCATCCCTCGCCCTCCTTGCGGTCGCCACTCCCACTCCTGGCGGTGAACCTGCCAGCCAGGTGATCATTTGCCGTTTTGCCGTTATTTCAGTGCCTTCTGCTAATAGTCTTTTCTCATAGTGCTCTACTGGTCCCGTTCAATGCTGTAACACTGTCACAACTGCTGGAGATCCTGCTGCGGCTGGCGTACTTGCCTTGATCGGTGTTGTCGTCCAGGACTTGACTGTGCCAGTTGGACTCACGTGCGACCCCATCACCGTAGGTTTTCCCAGTTTTATCTCAGACATGGAAGCGTATGATTAACTATCTTCGCTTCACAGGTAATTGGTGCTGGAGGTTCCGGATGCAGCGCCAACCCAGTCTGCTGTGAGGACAACAGCCACGGTTAGTTGGGATCTTCAAAGTGTCCTGACTTAGGTATGACAATACTGAAAACCTTCTTTCCAAGGCGGTCTCATCTCGATTGGATGCGTTCCCGTCGACCTGAGCTTGTAAGCTATGAAATTAACAAGGACACTTCATCGGGATCATCCCCGATGAATTGACTGGGCTCATGTAGGAGGCGGTATTTGAGCATCTGTCAATAATTATGCTCTGATCCTAACCCAATCATGACCTTCATCTGCTGTGTTGTTATTTCTTATTGTTCGGATTGCTGTGCTTCGTTATGATACTTATGACGTGTTTGTTGTGTTTTCGGATCCCAATGAAGTCGGTTTGGTTGGTTTAAACTCGTAGGCTCTGGTGAAAAGGAACAAAAGTCGACATACGATCTGCCCTTCTCAGGGGTAGACAGAATGATACCTGAAGATTTCATCTTTTGAGTCAGTATCAGAGTTACAGTGTTAATGAGTGTAAAAAGTATAGCAACCGATAGCCGATCATGCAAAAGGGGATCGGATTGTGACGACTTCTCTAGACGACGATCCACACTTGTATGGCAATTCTGCGATCCTTTCCTAAATGCTTATTACTGTGACCCCATTTCGGTCTTGCTTCCTCTCCAGTATCCGCCATAGTGGTCCGAAAATTCCGGACGTATTTAATTGAGGTGAAGGTTCGAGACTTTCTTGTCGATACGGGAGTCATGATCGTCTTTATGAAAGGAGGCAAAAAATCACCGATCACACTGGACCCGTGGAGCGCCAGCCTCCAGGCACAACGTAAAACCTGCGGTACCGAAATTGATCCCGATCTTTGGATTTACAGGAAGACCTTCCGTTCCATTTCTCTGAAAGAGAATTCAAGCGTCACATATGGCTATTCTTGCTATTCTCCTAGTATAAGAAGCAGGCATTCGGAATGGGTTGCAAATTAGAACGGGTTCCATGCAAGCAGGATCTTCTTTTTTCAGTTCACCAGCAAGCGAGCTCCATGAAGGCACAACCTGTGAAAATCGGATGAACAACGCGTAAAGTCTCCCATGGTGTAGTTTCTGTAGTAAATCCGCTGTGCGACTCGCACCTTCATTGATAAGTACCGAAAGGACTCGTAGGTATACTTCTCCGTTCAACGAAGCATCTATGTCTGATCCGAGGCGTTACAAGACTGGTTTGCGGCTAATGTCGAGATAAGTGTTTGAACAAAAACCCTTGTAGTTCTGATAAAGGTTCGTAAAAGAGCGCATGTTTCGAATCCCACGAGATGGACGACCTGTCTTTTTGAAGCATTTCGAGGAGCTTCGCCAATGCGTATTTATAAATACATACATTTGGGAAATGTTATACTGCGGCACAAATCACGTAAAGTGATACATTATCTATACTCAACAGTATGCGAAGTTATATACGTACCGCTCAAGAGCCCATCCGCCAGTTTCTTTCCAGTTTATCGTCCAGTAATATGTACGGCCAACTGAATATCTGTCGTTGAAGATTGCTTTGAACTCCCGAAACCCGACCAACGTCTAGCCGAATTTCGAACACAAGGATAAGCATCAAAGTGGCGTATGAACGGTCCGGGATGGAGTTTTGCTTAGGCGAGACGTTTTTAAAGTCGAACAGTGATACTGAGACATGGTTCCATACGTTCTTGTTTCCATTTAAAATCAACCTGGTAAATAGAAAAAGATTTCGCAAATCCGGAACGCGTTAATGGACACGATCTGGCAAATTTCAAGACTTCTCGGTATTTTCACCCCACTCTGTTAAGGATCCACACAGTGGAAAGAATGAACACGATGACGGTGCCGAGCGACTTTGGAACAAGGCAGCGAGTCGGATTAGGTTTGAATTCGTTAACATTGTTAAAACAAGGCAAGCCAGCGACGTCTCTATCAGCGCCTCCAAAGCTAGATTTACGGTATTGGCTACTCCACTTTCATTAAAAAAGACAAAGGGCTAATATTGACAAGACTATTCAGTCTCCGGGTGTTTCTGGTGTTAGCCTGCCGAGCATTCGGCGTTTGGCAAAAGGTCATAGTGCGGCCTTGTAGTGACTTTGAAATTGGATGTTGAGACGATCGGTTGAGGCGTTAGAGCTGCAAATTCGATGATGTTGGTGCAAAAAAGAAAACGTGGGGTGGTGGGAAAAAGTGGCCGACGGCGATCATAACCTCGCTAAATAAAGTAATCACTCGTGCGAAAACCAGTGTTGTGGGTCCAGATCTAGCAATTCAGTATACCTCGCTGGGAATATACATTTCAATACTTTACACTTTTATTACTCAGAAAACTAATAACAGAGCATTATAATTAGATGTCCCGTTGTCTCGCCGAGACTTTCAGCGCTTTGAACAGAATAACAATAAAATTTTCGATCATCCTGCGACTGACCCGGGCCCGGCGCATCGGGATGATAGAATTAACTCATGAAAATTGAGGGTCTGTCTACGAGCTTCGAGTGATACATATATCAACACGGGTAAATGGGACCAACCGAGTATAAAGACACTGTGCATCAGCCACTTCGCCTCGCATCCAACTGTTGAAAGCCAACTTCACACAACGCTCAGAGCCACCAACCGAAACCGCTTAGAATCAAAATTATCATGAAGCTACTCTATTTGACGGATCAACCCATATTCTTTGTCTCTTTCTACCTTGCGGCCGCCATCCTTCCATTCGACCTAGCATCCAGTAGGTAAAATGACGGCTACCACCTACCAGACAAGCTAACACAACGAACAGTCACCTGTGGTTACAGTTATCAAGTCATTTCCCCAATGGAAAGAAAGTGACACTTCCTACCTGTGGGCCGCAAATATTCTGTTCGTTAGCTTGTAGTGACAAAAATGCTCTGGTTCATACATGTCCAGGTGCACAAATGGCTACTTATAATTCCTGGGCAAACGATTTGTAAGTGATTCTTTGTAATAGTTTGTAATCAGTCTCAGGAGGCTAAAAATATTTGAAGCATTACTAGGTACCTGTTCTGTATAGTTACCTAGAAACTTATTATGTTGTGAACCATACCCTTTGTACACACAAAATTATTACTATTGTAATAGTGCTTCTGACTGAGTGTAAATCTTGTGTATAGTCTAACTTTGAGAAGAAAATAAGTATAAGGCTTTCATGTAATGGCTATTCCTAGGTCTTAAATTGGTAGAAAGTTACAAACCTTATTATCAGGAAAAAGTCAGATTTCTTGTAATTTCTTATAGACTTTGTAAAGTAACATATGTATTGTATATACATTATAAAGTAATTATAAGACTTGTAATTGAATTGTAATGTTTAAATAAGACATATTAATGTATATAAAGACTACATAAGTACTAGGGATGAATAAAATCTATTACATGTTTTATACTAACTTTGTATAACAACCTAAAGTGTTATGCTTGTATTATATTTAAATTATAATCTTAAAGAAAGAGTTATACTTATAATATAATAGTGTAATAATTACTATTGTTACCTTATAATTTATACAAAAGGTATATTAATGTATATCATACTTAGATTATGTATACAAGCAGTTTACAATTATTGTAAAAGGCATTTCATCTACTTGTAATAATTACATTAGTATGTTTAGAAAGCTATATACATATCATATTTCTTTTAACTGTATTACAAAGTAGATCAATAATTTTATTTTATATCTAAATACAACAATTAAAATGTTCTATCAGTTGACAACTCATATTATAGTTGCTTACATAATCAACTGCTAAAGATTGAGAGCATATAATGATGCATTTCTCTTCATCACTCCTTTACCTCCTACCTTTACCATCTCCCTAACCCTCTACCCCTAACACTATGTTATTGCTTCTGTTCTCTAAGTCTCTAGTTAAGTCCTCTGCTTGTAAGTATTGTACTAGCAGGCACTCTGCCTGTAACAACATAGGTAATAAACATTACTTAACTTGTCTCTCCAACCTACTACTATAATATCTGTACTAGGCCTCAGATCCTACAATAATGCTACTGACCTGACTACACTGTCCTTCAACATAAAGTATAAGTAGCTAGTCTACACTATAATAGCCTGTACAATGTTGCTCATCCCTCTCCTCCCAACTTGTTTGTCTCCCTTCCATCCCTCCTACTCCTTACTCTGTGTCTTGTATTGCCCCTCCTTCATTGTCTTCCTTTTTTACACTTGCCTTCCTTTTTGCATTTGCATTTGTACATCCACATTGTTAACTAATACTAAACAACTTCTTCAATAGTTCTACACATTTACATACTACTTTCTACTCTACAGTGTAAGTAACACTTAATGAGTACATGCTTGTAACAATGTCCCTGTACAATTACTCCTATTGTGCCACCCTCTCTCTCACTCAGTATGTACTTTTTTCTCCCACCTACTCAATGTTTGACATTACTTTTGATAGGCTACACTGTGTGCATTTTTCCTCTATACTAGGTATGACACTGTATTGAACAGAAGTAGTAACCTACTACTTACACTGTCTGTACTAAGTCTGTCTACAACTTCTATGTTACCTTCTCTCTTTATGTTAGAACATTCTAGAGATACACTCTTGTAATCTATGGCTCAGCACACTATACCTCTTATTACTTACTGTAGTAAGAGTATACAGTACACATGTACAGACACAGATTTGTCTGTAGCTCAAATCAGCTTGCTCAACACTCTAGATCTCAACCTAGTGTACTACCCACCCTTCCTACATTTGTCATAGTACATCCCTCTCCTCACTTCAAGTACTTGCACTTGCTAACAATTCTGTCCCTTAGGCAAAAACTGGTCTAACAAATATTCAAAGTATGATTCTCTATGACTAGACTCTCCTTTCCTTCTTTCTCTCTTTTTTCTTACTTGTCTGTATACTCATTTCACAAATACAATATTATTAAAATGTAATGTAGTAGAATAGAATAAATGCAAGTGTATTAAAATGTTAGCACTTAATTATAAGAGGAAAAAAAGAGAAATAAATGAATACCTGGATTGTAAAATATAATAACTAATTTGAAGTCTTATAAAGCTCTTATAAAGTATAATAATGTCTAACAATATACATACTACTTTTAAAGCTTTACATTAGATTGTATACATTATAAAACTATATTACTCTTGTTAAAATATAAAGTTCTTTTAATATCTTTTCATTTTAGGAGATTGGATATAAGTTCATTTACATATTGTTAACACTTATAAACCTTATTTATATTGACAATATGTACATACCTTTTTGTATCTTATATAGCTTTTTATAATCTTCTCATTTTGAGAGGTTAGATATATGGTCTTTTATATTTTTTAGAAAATTCATATAATTTATATGTTTATAAGCTAATATAAGCCTTAAGACTTTTTCCTGATGATAGAACAGTATTAATATTGGTGACAAAGGATCAGCTCTACTACACAAGTTGACAGAACTGTGTCAGCAATCCAGGATTACTATGTTAACTAACCTAGTGTCCATTTTGCTTCTACCTCTCTTATAGTACTCAATATTATATTAATATATATTAAGCACTTGAGTACTGTATTAATCAAGCCCTAATTAGGACAGCCTTTCTGTTATTTTGCCTTACTCTACTGTAAGTTATTAAAGTGTCTCTATTGTCTATTTTACAAATAGTCTAGTGTTTAAATTTTATAAGAAGTACTTATACTTATAGATCTGTTATAACAGAGATAATTTAATCATGTATTTTATTTGGCTAAGAATCTAATATACAAACTAAGGTTATATTTCTCCTTCAGTTCAAGTATATAATGTAAAGTCTTAGCTTCAGCAAGGATAGTATATAAAGTAAATAAAATGTATAAGAGAAATTAGAATATACTCTTACATTTAGAATACTAAACCTACTAGATGTAAAATAAAATGTGTTTATAATATTGTAGACCCTTATACAGTAGTTAGTACTAGTGTGTAGACAACTATTTCTCTTACTATACTAATGTGAATAATTGATTTAAATACTAGTTGTATTATAAGTTAGACACAACTATAGTAAGTAACCTTTAATTTTTATGTTTGGTCCAAACTAAGATGTATAAGATACTACAATTGTTAATGTGTAATAATTCTTTAATTGTAAGTATAAAACATATTCTAATATAAGAGAAGATTTATAATTATTTACTATCTGTGTCTGCTCTCAGACTAAAACAGTTATATTTAGAACAGACTACTGTCTTATTATAGCTCAAACTAGTATACAATACTTTTGAGACATGTCAGATTTCTATAAATAGAGTCTAAATAATAAGAGACAGCTCAGTATGTCTTACATTCCTACCCTGTTATTATATCTCAACCTTACACATTTACTATCCTATTTACTCTATTATCTTACACACAATATACACTAATATATATAATGTGTTAGCTGTTCTCCTACCTCTTAATAGTAGGATTCTGTCTTTCCTACTAAGACACAATGTTAATAACATACTCTTACAGTATTAAAAGCTAGAGTTTTAGTCTAAGAAGGAGAATAAGGGCAAACTAACTACTCTCCTTGTTAGTAAGTCTGTACTAATGTTTTCTGACCAAGTTATAAGTAAGTAGCCATTTGTGTACCTGGGCATACATAAACTAGAACATTTTTGTCACTACTAGCTAACAAACAGAATATTTACAGTCTACAGGTAGAGAGTATTACTTTCTTTCTATTAGGGAAATAGCTTAATAACTATAACTACAGGTGACTGTTTGTCATGTTAGCTTGTCTGGTACATTGTAAAAAAGTCAGATCTAATATAATGAAGTATAGTGTTTTTAATATATTATAAACATTTTGCATTCCTTATAATATAACTGTAAGAGTTTCACAATAATTATAATGTTAATATTAGTTATATTAGTACATATAAAGATTCTGTAAACACTATAGATAGATACAATCTATTAAATGGATTATAATAACCTTATATTATAAGCTTAAGTATTATACCTGTATTATGATTTTAAAGATAGACTAATATTTACATTGTAAAACAGTTATATTAGCTGTAAAAGACATTTTGAATACTTATAACAATTATATCAGTGTGTTTAAGAATATATATATATGTTATATTACTTCTTACTGTGTTTTAAAGTAATTTAATACTTTTATTTCACATCTAAATATGATATTTAAGCTGTTTTATAGGTTTGATGCTACTGTGCAAATTGATTATGTAATCAACTGCTGAAGATCGAGTGTATATAATGACACATTTGTCGTTGTCACTTCTTTACCTCCTACCTCTACCATCTCCCCCAACCCTCTGAGTCTGCCCCCAACACTATGTTGTCGCTTTCTTTCTCTCCAGTCCAGTCCTCTTCCTGCAAGCATCCTCTAGTATGCTCCAACTCTACACTAGCTTCTCCAATCTGCCCAACACTAAGCCTCAGATTCCGCGACAATGCCACCCAGCTGACTACACTGTCTCCCCCCAGTTTCAACATAAAGCATGAGCAGACAGTCCACTTCATACTAACCTGCACAATAGTGGCTCATCCCTCTCCTCCCAACTTCTTGTCTCCCTTCCATCCCTTCTGCTCCTTGCTCCACCTCTTACATTGCCTCTCCTTTGTTGTGCTTTTTTTACGTTCGCCTTCCTTTTTACATTCGTATTCGCACATCCACATTGTTGACCAATGCTGAACAACTCCTTCAATATATGTGTACTTCTTCCTGCTCTGCAGTGTAAGCAACAATTGACGAGCACTCACTCGCAACAATGTCCATGTACGACCACTCCTGTAGTACCACCCTCTCTCCGATGCTGTACGTGTTCTACTCGCCATTCATTCTATGCTTGATACTGCTCTTGACAGGTTCACACTCGTGTGCGTTTACATTCCTTATCACTATGGATAACACCATATTGACAGAATGCAGTAGCTAACCATTCACACTGCCCAAGCCGAGTCTGTCCACACCTCCATTTCGCCTTCTCCCTTCAAACCAGAACATCCCAGAAATACACCTTTACAATCCACAACGACTACTCATTTTACTGCGCCTCTGATTGCTTGTCGTAGTCAGAGCATGCAACACACGTGCACAAACACAACTTCACCTGCTGCTCAAATGAGCTCGTTCAACGCTCCAGATCTCAACCCTGGCGCACCACTCACGCTCGCTGTATGCCGTCGCGGTGCGTTAATCCCTTGATACAATTACCCACTCACACCAACAAAGCCAATGCCCACGCTCACAACCTGTCTCACAAGTGCGACCCCAACCTCCTCAACCCCTCAACCCGCTCAACCTCACAGCCCACATTCACACGCAATTCAATTTGCGGGGACCGAGCAGCGACCGAAGCGTGGTGACGAAGACTACATCAAACCGTTCGAGAACACATTCATTCTTTTCCGCTGCAAACGCTGTTTAAAAAGGAACGAGGCAGAGGCTGCAGCAGCTGCAGAAAGCGATTCCGTCGCGCGATGTCAGCATCAAGCCGACCTATCCAAAACAATCTCACAACAATGGCATTCACTGTCCGCGGAGGAACGTAAATACTGGGATGATCTCGCGAAACGGAGGAAGAAAGTTTACGAGGAGATGTACCTATGGTATCAGCCTATGCGAGATCTGATAAGGGAAAGAAGGGAAAGAAAGACCCGATGGCAGTAGTGGCACCTGCGGTTGGGAAGGTAAGCAAGGAGAAGGAGGGTAAGAAAGAGAGACGTGAACGTACGAAATCGTCGAGCAGTGTCCGAGGTTCTGGCGCACGTGCACGTAATAGCTCGTCATGCTGTGCTGCAAGTAGTGTGAGTGTCTCTTCATCAGTACTACTGCCGATTCTGACGACTACAGCGAATTCGACTCGCTTTCTGCCGATAGTCCGTTCAGATATCCGCACACGACGTGCAGTAGCGTGCGCGAAGTGGAGATAGCGGACTTTTCCGATTTCGAGATGGGTGATAAACAACACCAAAAGAACATTTGCCAGTGTTTTTGTTGACACAGAAGGGAGCTGGTGGAAGAACATAGCAAAGAAGAGGTTCAAATCAAAATATGTAGTAAAGAGCAATTAAAATATCTAAAAGTGTTTTTAGGTTTAAGGACCATGTGTGCACGTGATCCTGTCACCAGACCCTGACGCCGTCGAGTGTCAGCACATCGTCTCTCATTCACCATCATCCACCATGTCTTCTTCTACTTCAAGCCCAAACACCTACGACTACATGATCTGCCTGCTTTACAATGGCAAGGCAGATGCTTGTCCCTTTCCCATGCAGATGGATGCAAAGGTTGATGCCTTGAGGCGAGATATATATGGCCATCCGGCCTACAATCATCACCTGAAGGGCACGGATCTAACCCTTTACAAGATCTTTCTCAGACGTCGCCTATTCTGTCACTATGCTAATGATCTATGTGCAGCCTGACAAACTGGACAGGAAGCCACTCGAAACACTTCATGATCGTGCTGCCGATTGCTTTTGCACACTTCCAAAGCCTGCGAGGATGGACTTTGGAGACCGTCTGAATGAGTATTTCCCTGATGGACCTACCCCGGAGCATGAGAATATGATAGATATTATTGCTGTGGTTGGTTCACGTACGTATTCTTTTCTCTACCCAATACTATATCCAACCAACTTCTCCCTAGTTCTGGGCGGTTTGAATTATACTGCTCTCAGTTCATCTGACTCGCTCAACCGGTTCTATAAAGAAATCACGTTTTTAGTTCCTCGTGGTTATGGTGAATCGGATTGGCAGGATGTGGTTAACCTGAATAACTATCTCGGTCGATCATCGTGTCCTCAATTTGTCGAGAATGTAGTTCAAAGACCGAGGCAGGCAGCAGACGACAGTAATAGTAGGGCCTCTGCAAAAATGGTTGTATCCTGTTTGAAGACATACCTTCTCAATTGCTGATTATTTCGGTGGTCTGTACAGGGCCTCCGGAATATGCTTGATGCAATCACAGTGAAGGCAACAATTCGGAGATTGTCTCTAAGCTCTTGAGTGACGAAGACGGAGCGTCCCCGTATGCGCAGTCGCATCCTGAGATCACCCATTATATTCATGCTCTTTCCTTGACAAATCGCTGGCGATCGAGTTCAAGTTCGTCTACCACTGGCGGCAGAAGCAAATTCACGGAGAAGCAGGCACACTCTGTCATATTCACGGACTTCGAGGCTTATTGGGAAACAGAGGTTGAAGGTGCACAATGCGTATTGTGAGTGTCTGATCACATCACCTGTGGCACTGTATGTATCTCATTTGTGTAGCCGGAAAAATTTCCCGTTCTATCTTATTGCCGACGAAGGGAACGGGAATCAGTACAAGTATCGACCCCGACCTGACGTTGCCCTTTTAAAGAAGGGTTTCCCTCGTTTTTTGGCTGAGATTGACTCAATTGCCGATCAGAACGACAAGTACCGGCTGTATGTTTTTATGGCATGTGCACTACGACTTGCATTAGCTCTCCGGAAAGAAGACGACGGCTACACTGGCAAGGATTTCTTCCTCATGGGAGCGTTTTTATCCAAAGATTGGCACATATCACGGTGCTTCTTTTACGTCGATGATGAAGGGAAGGTGTGTAGGAAGCATTCGTTACATCTGCTCAACCTCACCACTCTCTTGTCAGGTTTGCTATAACGAAAAAATATTCAACATGGCCTATGCCAATGATTTAATGACCTTCCTCCTCGAGTTTTACAATTACGCACTTTATGTCAAGAACGATAAGACCCTTGATGACAAGTACGCGAAAATCGAAATGTTGCGCGACAATGTCGACGAAAGGTACACTAGGAGTCTTACAACGAGAACGACGAACGCAAAGAAAAGGCAAAGAACATCAAAGACAGATCAAGATGGCACAAATCGTAGTGCGGGTCAAGGTTCCGTTTCACATCAACGCGCCGTAATGACGGTTACGCTCCAGAAATCGGGTTTCAAAGTTCAGGATGATGAAAACTCTCTGCGATTTGAACCGTTTATCAAGGTGTGTGTCGAATAAGTTGGACTCGGTCTTATACTAATAGACAGGTACAGTTACCACGTCACATAGTAGAGGCGAAAAGTCCCAAAGGGAATCAAATTGTTGCAAAACTCGTCCGCAAAGACTCTGCCGAGCTCTCTCTCCTTCAGGAGCTATCGACACAAACGTCTTTGCATAATCATGTCATACCCCTGCTGGATACAGTCCCGTCAAGTTTGGGACCATTGGTGATTGTTCCTTATTTGACTCCTCTGCCGCAAATTGTATCACTCCGTTTGTTGAGAGATCGGCTCAGATGCAAGGTTGCGCACCTGAGCCGTGAGCTTATTGAGGGTGTTGCCTTCCTCCATCGGCAAAACATTGCACACATGGACATCAAGCCCGACAATCTTGTCTATGGATCCCATCATCTTTATATTATTGACTTCGATGTTGCTGTGCGGTGCAGGGATGTGGACGAAATGGTTAAAATGTCCTGTGGAACTCGTGGGTGGAGCGCTCCAGAGATTGTCCTTGACGATGATGAGGCAACTTGCGCGTTCAGCCCTATCAGGGCAGATTTATGGTCTTGTGGCAAGGTACTGCAGTTCATTACTGAGAAGGCTGGTCAAAATGATGAGAACATTATACAACTTGCAAAATTGCTTGTGGACCCTGATCCAAGACGCCGGCCGTTACTGCACGAAGCAGTGGATGAAGGACCAGACTTTTGGACGTCGGGACGGCTTCTTCAAGCTGTCAGAAGTCAGGTGTATTCTGGCAAAGCCAGGGCGCTGAAATGGGCCCGTGTCGATACTAGTCACGTGGGCAAGGAGACGCCATCGTCAAAAGGTCAGGAGACCGAGCGTCTCGACCACTGCATCCTCACCCTCTTTTTCTCCACCTGCTTTGTCTGCACTGCCTTCGCAACTATCTTCAGTTTCGTCATCGGATTCCTCCCTCGCTACGCCTTGCATGTCGGATTCTGATGACAAAGCCGATGGCTTGTCTGTGCTTCGCGCTAAAGTGGATGTATCTGGCAAAAGAGGAGAATTCCAAGCAATTGACGTTTAAGCTTTAGAATTGATAGACGGTTTTGTACACTTCTTTGTACTAGAATTAAATATAATACGATGTCTGGGAGTCATGCAGTGTAATGGCTAGAGATAAAGCAATTCTTTTAGGAACAAGATTGAATATAATCATGAGAAGAGAAAGGCTGTCCTAACAATTGCTATTTACTTCAATAAACACAGTCATCATAAATTCATACAAAAAATCATCTTTGCCCTGCAAAGATCAGACTAACTGAGCAAATCGCAAACGACCAAGGATTGACTTTTCACACTGACAGTAATTAGTCTCAGAACATTAGATGAATAGAGAGAATGAAGTATACAATCTTCTCTAGTCACAAACTCTTAGTAAACGCATAACACTAAAACACGCTGAATTTCTCCCTTCAGGTAAAAACAGAGAAAAATTGCAGTGCAGAAACTACCTGCGAGGTTTTGAATTAAAATGTGTCTTGGGACAGAATGCAACCGTCCTCCAATCTAATCTCCAGTCTTTCGGAACGTTCAGCATAGGTCACAGCGTGCGCTGCTCATCAATAGATCAACTGAACTGACACAGAGATACTGGCATACTGCAGAGCAACTCGCACAAGAAACATAAGGGGATCTTCAACTATACAAATCCTCCGGCTTCATATCCTGCATACCGAAGAACGCCCAAGCAAGCGGAGCGTCGAGATCATCTGCCTCCGTCGTATCCTTCCGTCCAATCACAGCATTAATCTGGTACACTGATGTTTGTCCCTACCAGATGATAATCAGATCAGATTAGCTAACCAATTCCAAAAACAGAACGGATAAGGAATGTGAATAGGTCATGATGCACAATACCAAGCAAAACTTTGATAGCAGGT